TTAAATTGAAATCAATATGGGAATGATCAAAGAGTACTTATCTATTTATTTTTTGATTTTCATGGAATTATTTTCCAGCAGCTTGACTGCATTAACCTTTATAGATTTCATATATATACAGTGTCACACATAAAGTCCGCATCAAATGGATTTTTTTTTTGTTCATCTCTTCAAGCAACTTTTGATATCTCCATTATGTTGTGCTTTGAAAATGATGCCAAATGATATGCATATGACCGATCAAGTGATTTTTCTTCCCTGTCAAATTTGACATTTTTTCCAAAAAATTGTTCAGAAAAGAAGTTATTGCTCGAAATTTCGAAAATCGGTAAAGAGAAAAGATGATTGCTTTTTCATTTTTTACCCATATCCAATTTTTAGCACTCTAGTACAAATTTAGTTTTTTCACAGTTTTTCGAAAATTTGACATTAGCCGATTTCTCAAATTTAGCGAAACCTCAACAAAGTTAGTGCTTCATGCCTAACTTATCCTTCCAACGCATTTTTATTACCAATTTCAATTCTAAATACAACTTATTTCGCAAAAATTTAAAACACCAGAAAAAATTATGCCAAAAATGATGCAAAGTTGAGACAGTTTTTAAAAACAGATAAATATTTCACTTTATTTCTACTTTTTGCGAAATAGCTTGATACATAAGCATAATTAAAAAACAATATCAATGAAAAGTTAATAATTTATTCTTTACTGCACTTTTCAAACAGTTAAACTTTGTAGTATGAATAGGTGCACCATCACACTGATACCACACATGTCTTACTTGAAGGGGCATATTATCCAAAACTTCAGATAGTTCGGTATTCACAAAGTGTAGATAGTCCGCAGAATTTAAATTATGCCTGGAAAAGTATGGTCCCATAATTTGATCGTTTAATATGCCACACCATACATTCGTCTTAAACGAATATTGATCTCGACATTCGATTACGAAATGTGGGTTTTCTTTTGCTCACCTCCTGCAGTTTTGCGAGCTCACAACGCTATTTGAAGAGAAGGTCGCTTCATCTGTCCATAAAATTTGATAAGGAAAATGATAATTTTCTTCTTTTTCCCCTTGAAACCAAAAAGAAAAATACAAGCGCATATCGAAGTCCCTTTCTTTCAACGTATTGATAAATTTCGGTTTA